GATCATGAAAAAAGGGATTGTTCTGAATTCAAAGTGATTTGAGAACCATAACAACCAGTTACAATGAGTAGTCCCAGATTGAGTCCTGGTATGAATAATCCAAATGTAAAGGTTAGGAGATAACTGGTGAAATTTGAAAGTGAGTTGACATCAGATAAACAGACCTTATATAAGATGTAAATATGTTAAAATGATTATAAAGGAAAATGTTCCATTTCTTAACTACATATTAAACTATTTAGGGGTAGAATGTCAAAATGTCTCTACTTTAAAATACTTCATTTAAAAAAAACTGAATTAAAAAATGAGACAAATAAAGCCTTTTTACTTTTGAAATTAAAATCAGACTACATATATTTCACTTTATATGCTATATTTTTACTTAAGATTAAATCATAACAACATCCCTAAGTCATTACTCTTTAAAGGCAAAGAGGGAAAAATATATATATAAATAAATATAGTATGTAGACTCATTTATATATTTCCTGAATAACCACTAAATCCTAAGTACTATGCTAGAAGCTGAGAATAAAAAACAGGATCCCAGTTAAGGAAATTATTGTTTCATGAAGGTAAAGTATGACAATAAAAGTAACACTGCAGTTTCCTAAGGATCAATGAAAGTTTGCCAAAATTTTGGAGCATACCTTGTGCACCTGCTCCTGTACCTTCTTTTGTTTTTTCTTAGGAGCAAATATCTGATCATATTCTTCCGTATATTCCAAAAGCCACTTGCTTGGCTTCCTAAGGCGTTTCTTCTCTGAACGCACAGCTAAAAGATGATAAACAAGTTCACCATTAACCAAAAAGATTCAGGAAAACTCACTGTTTTTATGACACCATCTGATACTCCCAAAGGTAACCAGATGGGAAACCACATAGTAAAAAAGACTCCGGCTTAAGATGCGAGAGGCACAAAATGGCTTGCTATGTTTTCTCATATGCAAAAGGAGCTAGGGGAGACAAAATGACTTGTGCTACCTTACACACACATATAACATAATATATATGGCCCATCCAATCTTGAAAAGGCTAAATTTAAAGTTAGGTCTTTTTTTTTTTTTTTGAGTCACGGTTTTGCTCTTGTTGCCCAGGCTGGAATGCAATGGCACAATCTCAGCTCACCACAACCTCCGCCTCCCCAGTTCAAGCAATTCTCCTGTCTCAACCTCCCCAGTAGTGGGGATTACAGGCATATGCCACCACACCTGGCTAATTTTGTATTTTTTGTAGAGACAAAGTTTCTCCATGTTGGTCAGGCTGGTCTCGAATTCCCGACCTCAGGCGATCCACCTGCCTCGGCCTCCCAAAGTGCTGGGATTACAGCATTAGCCGCTATGCCCTACTAAAGCCAGGTCTTATAGTCACTGACACCTACCTGCACATATAAAGCTAATATATACCTAACAAAACTATAGCAGCTAGATCAGGTAAACAAGTAAAATGTATCTTGAGTTACAAGTTAAGTATGTCTTATCTGAAATGCTTGGAATCAGAAGTGATTCAAAATTTTTCATATTTTGGAATATGTGTATATACACAGTAAGTTATTTTGGGGATAGGACCCAAGTTGAAACACCAAACTCAGTATCATATACATCTTATATACATACCTTAAAGGTAATTTTACAAAATATTTATTTTCTACATTATACAAAGTTTGTGTACAGTAAACCATAAGAAAGCATAAGTGTCATTATCTCAATCACTCACGTGGAATATCTGTGGTTGTTTGGCATTACCTCATTCCTGCCTCTGAATTTATATGCTACTGATAGGCAGACGTTTTCTTACACTACTCACACATAAGTACTTAACTGTAGAAACATGACACACCATTAACACAGTGAAAAAGTAACGTGTTGAGGGTAGTAAGCAGCACATTAGCATCATTAGAATACCTATGTCAGCTGATAAAAAACAGTAATAACAATGTGGGGCTTTATGTCTCCAACTATGATGCTGTTTTGATTAAAAGGTTATTGTATACTGTTTTATAAGGTAAGAAGAAACATCATCAGAAGCAGTTGAGGAACCAGAAAGTCCTCTAGGAATAAAGAGGCATGCTGTGAAATGGCTTTTAAAAACATTTCCTCTAGAGTCATCTCTCTCATTAACAACAAGCACTGTCTAGCAGGGTTTCATTCATTCATTCATTCATTCATACATTCATTTAGAAATGGAGTCTGACTCTGTCACCCAGGCTGGAGTGCAGTGGCATGATCTCAGCTTACTGTGACCTCTGCCTCCCCAGATCAAGCGATTCTCAAGTGATTCTCCTGCCTCAGCCTCCTGAGTGGCTGGGATTATAGTTGCCTGCCACCACACCTATAACATGTCAGCATGTTGGACAGGCTGCTCTCCAACTCCTGACCTCAAGTGATCTGCCCACTTCGGCCTCCCAAAGTGCTGGGATTACAGGCGTGAGCCATTGCACCTGGCCCAAGGCTTTCAACTTATAAACTGACATGAGTTCTTTTTCTGTTATGAATGAACACTGCTCTCGTCCTTCAATAAGCCCATCACATACATTAGCCATGTCATCTATAGGTACTTTTTCTGCAGTGTTAATGTCATCTCCATTGTCACAATTACCTTGATTCAGATTGCTGTCAGCTCTATCACCATGGGTGAACAAAAAAACAACTGGAGCCGCACTGTTGATATTAAAGGCTTTCTCGTTACCCACTTCTTCCAGCTTACTGACAAACTGAATGTATATTTTTTGCACATTACATATTTTTCTCACTTTACTGAAGAAGTCAACAAAATCATCACCTTATTCATTATCATTGGTGAACATAGCTGAAGGTTAGAAGCTGTGCCAGGCATGCACAGCTGTACCTTTAGTCACTGTGTTCCAGGCACTGACAACAGCATATATGGCATCCTTCACTCCTTTTGAAAACCTTCCACAATAGATGTATGGACATCTATTCACAGCTGCCAGCAATATTATTCAAGAAAGTGTTTTTATATTTACTCTTCATCAATCTAGGGATTCCCTGGTCATATGACAGAGTTAATGAAGTCACACTTGAGGGAAAGTCCATGGCATAGACATTATTTTTGATAAAATTTCAGCAGTAGGATGAGCAAAACAGTTTGTAAGGAGGAACAGTCATCATCCAGTCCAGTTTCCCTGAAATGAGCACCAACTACTGCTTTATGTTTGTGAAACCAATTAGAAAAGATGTCCCTAAAGATCCATACCTTTCTGTTAGCATAATCAAAGACTGGTAAAAAAATTCACGCCTTTGGGCCAGGTGCAGTGGCTCAGGAATTCGAGAGCAGCCTGGCCAATATAGCAAAAGCCTGTCTCTACTAAAAATACTATATATACATACATACATACATATATATATATAAATATATATATATATATATATATATATATATATATATAAAGCTGGGCATGGTGGCTCACGCCTGCAATGTGACCTACTCCAGATGATGAGACACGAGAATCATTTGAACCCAGGAGGCGGGGGTTGCAGTGAGCCGAGATTAAGCCACTGAACTCCAGGCTGGGTGACAGAGACAGACTTAAAAAAAAAAAAAATCATCCCTTGGACCTGGGTGGAGTGGCTCACGCCAGTAATCCTAGCACTTAGGGAAGCCAACGCAGGAAGATCACTTGAGCCCAGGAGTTTGATACCAGCCTAGGTAACACAGTGAGACCCCATCTCTACTAAAAATTTTAAAAAACTAGCCCAGTGTAGTAGCATACAGCTATAGTCCCAACTACCAGGAAGGAATGCTTGAGTCTGAAAGATCAAGGCTTCTGTGAGCTGTGGCTGTGCCACTGCACTCAAGCCAAGACAACACAGTGAGGCTATCTCCAAAAAAAGGAAATAATTAACAGTGAGAACACAAGTTTTTGCCTATCATAGCAAGTTTACACTTATACATGCCTGCTTAATTAGCATATCCCAGCATAGTTATTCTGTCCTAGTCATCCTGAATTACTATAGGGACTGTCTCATCAACTGTAGGCAGCATCCTTCTGAGACAGTAACACCAAAACAGTGATGTTTCTCACTAGCATTATTTATTTATTTATTTTTCGAGACAGAGTTTTGCTCTTGTTACCCAGGCTGGAGTGCAATAGTGCAATCTCAGCTCACCACAACCTCCACCTCCCGGGTTCAAGCGATTCTCCTGCCTCAGCCTCCCAAGTAGCTGGGATTACAGGCATGTGCCACCACGCCCAGCTGATTTTTGTATTTTTAGTAGAGACAGATTTTTCCCATGTTGGTCAGGCTGGTCTTGAACTCTCGACCTGAGGTGATCCACCTGCCTCAGTCTCCCAAAGTGCTGGGATTACAGGCGGGAGCCACCACGCCCAGCCTTCACTAGCATTATTATATACTGTGCTGGTGTCAGACTTTCATTAGCAATAACCTCAGCAAAATCACCAATGAATCTCTGCTGCTTCAAGATCAGCAGATGCTTTATCACCACAAATCTTTTTTTGAGACAGAGTTTTTCCCTCTTGTTGCCCAGGCTGGAATGCAATGGTGTGATCTCAGCTCACTGCAACTTCCGCCTCCCGGATGCAATTGATTCTCCTGCCTCAGCCTCCCGAATAGCTTCAATCACAGGCACATGCCACCACACCCAGCTACTTTTTGTATTTTTAGTAGAAACGGGGTTTCACCATGTTGGCCAAGCTGGTCTCCTGACCTCGGGTGATCCGCCCACCTCAGCCTCCCAAAGTGCTGGGATTATAGGCATAAGCCACTGCGCCCAGCACTATTACCACAATATTCAAAACATTAATGTCATGACTTTTCAGAAATTTCTGCAACCAGCCTGTTGAATATTCACAGTTCCTTCCAATTTTTAGTTCATTATATCTTTATTTTATGATTGGTACACAATAAGTTGCATGTGTTCACTGCATTGCTGATGGATCCACTCTCATTACACAATGGAGATCTTCATTATTGGCTTCATGTAGTGTTTATCTGTATTTCATTAACTTCTGTTAATCACTTTCAGCATACAACATTAACAATGATCCTTCTATTTCTTCAGGTCATATATGGTAGTCATTCTAATCCTATACTCTTCTGTAAAATGTTTCATACTTACACCACCGTCTAGTTTCTCCAAGAGCCTGACTTCCTTTCTGCACTATACATAGATTATTCCTCTTTTCTTATTTACTCTTATCCATGGGGATATCTGTAGGCTTTCTGACAAGTTCAACAAAATCTTTATACCACAAAGCAGAAAACCAAAAAAAAAGTTTTTCATTTAAAAACACAATGAATAATGCATGGAGGCTTTTGCCCCACGTGGGGTATTTTGGAAAACTTTCTGTTGGTGCATCCAGCCTCCACGTGTGCCATTTTATCACTTTTTTTTTTTTTTTTTTTTAGTCGGAGTTTTGCTCTTGTTACCCTGGCTGGAGTGCAATGGCGCGATCTCGGCTCACCGCAACCTCCGCCTCCTGGGTTCAGGCAATTCTCCTGCCTCAGCCTCCTGAGTGGCTGGGATTACAGGCACGTGCCACCATGCCCAGCTAATTTTTTTGTATTTTTAGTAGAGACGGGGTTTCACCATGTTGACCAGGATGGTCTCGATCTCTTGACCTCGTGATCCACCCGCCTCGGCCTCCCAAAGTGCTGGGATTACAGGCTTGAGCCACCGCGTCCGGCCACCATTTTATCACTTTTTATGGGTATAATTGCATGGGAAAATCTGGCCTTGCACAAAAAATATATATATAAGCTGAAGGGGGCTTGGAAGGATAGTTTTTCCCTT